GGCAGAGAGTTTGGACATGTCTACTTTAAAAGATTTTCCTTCAACACCTTTGAGCCTGGAGGTTGTGAGTTCAATTCCCACCATGGGACCTACTCCAACTGCTCCCACTGATGTCTACTGTCGTTGTGTCCTTGGGCAAGACACTTAACCCCATGTTGCCTGAAGCCCCTGCTGACAGACCAATGCTGTTTCACCACTGACAGAGCAGCCATCTTCCTGTGGACTCACCCCCTGCAGAGGATCAGCGAGGGACTGGTGCTATGAGCATTGGGTGGCAGCTCTCATTGCCACCCCCCTGACCCAGAAATGGACAAGAAAAGGGCTTGAAAAATGAAGTATCCAGTCTGGTATTCCTTGCATTATTGATTCTTTGCCTATGCTACTCTCTCCATCTTACATAACAACCACTTAGGGACCGGTCGGGTTTGGGTCAAGACCATGACTTCAAGCTGTTTACCCCAAAAAGTAAAAGATAATGATATTGTTACTGGTGTTAAAACATCAACGTCTAACATGTAACTAAGACATATGGAGTCAAGAAGTCATATCAAAATTCCAGTCTTGATGAAATTATAAACGCTTAAAAAAAAAAAAATCAACTTGACATTGTTTTCCGTCAGCTCCATTTAGCATCATTCAAACTGGCCTCTCAACAGCTCCATCGGGTGACGGTGTGGCGAGGCGAGGCGGACTGTCGAGCAGCACTTTGTGTCATGATTCAGCCGATCTGCATATTTCTACATCACTTTGCGGTTTTTGAAAGTGTCATTTCTGTGACTCATACCCGCCTGATTATGTTGTTCCTTATGAGCAGGAGGTCACTAAGAAAGACTAACATCCAGAGAAAATGCATTAGACTGAGACTGATGTAGTCTTCGTACCTCCTTCCTTCAACAGCTCATGATGAACTGAACATAAAGTTTCTAATAATAATAACTTGCAAAGACGTGTTGTTCTGGATCTCTGCTGCCAGATTTGTACAGATGTCGTGTTGATTTGTAGCCGCCCTTTATGCTATATGTCACCATAAACAAAGTGCCATCTTGAATCTTGATGGAAGGATGGAGCGTGAGTTTGACATGCTCGCTGTTTGGGACTGCTGTGGTGAAAGGGAGCAGGGTCTGCAGTCCAAGCTCTGAATTTACGGCTTAGTCTACATTCCATGGTATGAGCTCATGTCCTTCATGGGAAGATGACCCAGCTGAGGTGGTGACAGGCATCATTTTGGGGGATGAGAGGGGGATGAGAGGCCTTCTTGGGGTATGACACTCGACTGGCCTGGGAATGCCTGAGGATTTCCATAGAGATACGGATATTTATTTGTTGTACTTGTTTGGTTTATTATTCTAATCTTTTCTATTCTGTAAAGCACTTTGGGTCACTTTGTGGATGAATTGTGTTATACAAATAAATGGGCTATGCCGGGTGAGTAAAAACTGACCATCACTTCATTCACACAAATAATGTCCATTTGCGCTCCTGTATTTGGCCGTCTCTGGTGACGAAGGTGCAAAAGACATGCTACAGTGGAACTCAAATTTAAAAGTAATTCTGGATTATCTAAGATCTGAGTGTGGCCAATTCTCTGGACGTGTGATAACAGCGTTGCTTGTGAGAGCAAGGTTATAAACGACAAAATGAGTTGTGCGTTCCGCCAATATTCTGTCCCTGAAAGATGAGACGCAAACAGACAACAAGCAGACAGTGTTTTGTCATTGTCCAAACTGCTTCTAAAGGTGTTACTTCATCATGAATCCACCCCCTTACTTGGGGCATTGTAGGGTTGTCTATCTTTAGCCATTTTGGATCCGGATGTTGGATAAAGCTGGCAACAGGATTTATAGCCATATTTCAGCCCACCGTAAGTTCAGGGAGGCGTGATTGCGATGGGTTGTCGTGGGGTGGGTGAATTCTGTCAGAATAGAGACAAGCTGCAGCACAGCTCCACTGACACTTGACGTGCAGATGTGAAACTGTGGCACAGACAAGAAAAAGCACATATCTACAATGTACATTTTTAGCAGGATATCCAGAAATGACTAAATAAAACTATGCAGACACTGCAGACTCAAGGCTTATTCAACTACCTGCTAAATTAGTTTTATTTTCAAGTTATGTCTGCTGCGTTTCAATGTATCAAGCAGCTACAAAAAGAAAAATAATATACCATCCAGAATAATGTTGAAATAGATAATTATCTGGGGGTATGCAATGTACCGCTGCAGTACATTCAAAAAGCAGCAGCTCGAGTCCTGACTAGAACCAGGAAGTACGACCACATAAGTCCAGTCCTCAGGTCTCTGCACTGGCTTCCTGTGGCTCAGAGAATTGACTTTAAAACAGCTCTGCTTGTGTACAAGTCTCTGGCTGAAGCAGAAGCAGAAGCAGGCCTTCTTCCCTCGTCATTACTTTGCTGATCAAAGACCTATTTTACAAGTAGAGCTGCAGCTATCAAATATTTTGGTAATCAATTATTCTATCGAATACACCGATCAATTAATCAAGCAATCAAAAAAAAAATAATAATAATGCGTCTAATTAAAAATATGCAATATCAAATGAAAATCATTTAAATAATGACAACTTTTTTAAATTGAATACCGTTTATTGAATTCATATTATAAAAAGAAGACAAGGCAGCAGCGATTGCACCTGTACCACGGCTGATTTTCGAGTCCTTCCAGATTGAACAGAATCAAACGAGGCATGTCTCGGAGCAGCATGTTTCAAATGCTATCTGTTAGAACAGCTGCTGGTGCTGGGAGCAGGGACTGGTCCTAAACAGGCTTTGATGGTTCACTGAAAGACAGGGAAAAGCAGACGTTAAATGTCAATCACACACCGCTTCCAGATTCAATAAGTCCTATAACAAACACTGCTGCCCTCACATGTCGTGCATCTCTGCAATAATTATAACATGTAATATAGAACCACATGTGTCTAACTATACATGACACTATACAATACTACAGCATTTTATACTTGTTTTTCTATTATAGTTAGAGCTTTGCTCCTCATTCCCACAGTTCTGTGACTGCTGATGTTCATGCAGGCATATTATTTACAGAGTTCAAATAACTGTTGTGTAGTAGTATAATACCCGTTGGCACTAGGATTGTAGTGAATGTCAAATTAGGTTAAACATTCATAATACATGTGTTATGTAGGTACAGATAAACCTTTCTCCTTCATAACTGCGTTAACAAATGAAAAGCTAACTATGCGACAGGCAGCTACATTGATATGTTTCAAGTATGCCGCTTTGGCAGCGTTTGACTGTTCGCGGGAATACCCCTCTGTGTTATCATTATTATCAACATTTTACTTTCACAACGCGTGCCTTTAACCATTACATGAAAGTTGACTTACCTCGTCTCGGGTCTTCCCTAATGTCCTCGTCAGCTGCGGAAGCATCAAACTGGTGTTATCATGAGATGCTCCACTTAGCATTGTGTGCAAACTACTCCTGTTTAGTGTTCAAAAAGAAGTGCTCCCACACTTTAGACGCTTCTTATTAACTCTCTTGTCTTTGCCAGTGCCTTCTGCGTCGTCCTCCATTGATATTATAATAGATCAATGCATTGTCCGCAAAGAAGTTTTACAAACACTAGGGATGCATACAGACCATGCAGACCGCTGTGTAGAGCAGGGCACGTGACGTAAACATAAAGAATCCATGCGAAACGTGAGAAAAGTCTATGTAGCAAACAAGGCAAAATTACATTTAATGTAATTTAAATTTACATGTAATAATGAGTCCTCATGGATTCAAAATGGAGATATGGAAACTCTGTATTTGAATGAGATTAAAAACAAAAGGACTCATTGTAACATCAACACGTACTTTAAAAAGGTAAAAGCAGAGAAGGTTGGAGATATCTTTATTACATTTCCTCATTACAAAAATCGCAAGTGAAGCGTGTGACGGAGACAGAAAATCATTTGAGATTATTCCCACTGTCTGCTGTCGTTGTGTCCTTGGCAAGACACCTCTGGGCACACCTGATGCCACAGTGGGGCGGCTGTGGCTGCAAAGTGCCAAACTGCTGTTGTGTCCTTAGGCACATCACCCCCATTGCCTAGAATGAGTCTGGTTGGTGGTGGTCGGAGGGGCCGATGGCACATACTGGTTGCCTCGCTTCTGTCAGTGTGCCCCAGGGCAGCTGTGGCTATAGTAGTAGTTTATCACTACCGTGTTTGGAGTGAATGAATAATGACATGTGAAGCGTCTTTGAGTGTCCAAAAACAGCGCTATATAAAACCGATGCATTATTATTATTATTGACAATGAGGGACACAATAGTTGTGGTTTTTAAAAATAAAAGTAAGTTTCTCTTTGAAAAGGTGTACCTGCATCATTATCATTGTATTAGATGAAAATGATCTAAGAACGACAATATTATTTCTTATGGCAACAATTTAGACAAGAGACAATTAATCGTCCAGCAAAATGTGTTGTCGTGACAGGCCTAACAGACACCCCTGCTTTAGGGGTTCTTCTCTTGGATACAAAGAAAACACAAGTGGGCTGTAGTTATGGACTAAGTCAGCGCCATAATCACAGGCTTTGAGGGCAACAGCTCATGAAAGAAACAATGACAGTAAGACTGCAAAAACTGAGAGTGCTTAGGGGCCTTACTATGTTAACCTTGACAACCTCATAGTTTGTACACTAATAAGGTAGTCACCAAATTCTCAGAGAATTGATGATGACAAGTGACAAGTTTGAGTCAATATGGTTCAATTAGAAATTAGCTTCTATTCGCTTGATTCTCAAATGACACCCACTTGACAAACAGGAGCTGCCACTGCCTCAAAGGGTTTCTGTCAAACACTCAGTTTGGTGGAAATCAGTCCAAAGCCTGTGGCCGCAGGTATTGTTGCTCTGCCAGGGTTCATCAAACAGCCACATCCGTCAAAAAGCTGCTAATTACATTCCTCCCTCCACAGCTGGCTCTTTCAAACAACACCACACTGACCTGTGCTATCACGCCGCGCACATGCTGACCCTCTGTTTCAGGCACTCGCTGATTCCCACCGCTAACCATTGATGTTTCTTTTTACATTTTACAACAATTCTTTCCACAAACCAAGCTAAAACATAAGATTAGGACAGCGTCTAGTGAGTAGGATTTCCTCAACTGCGTGGCAGTATCCAATTGATTACATTATAGACAATGAAATAGATAGATACTTTATTGATCCCCGTAGGAGAGATGCAAGTGTCCAGCAGCAGAAACACATCCATCCGTACAGACAAGTAAATACATCATTCTAAAAGTTACTTACAATCGTAGTAAAGTTTAGGTCGCTGGTGATGAGCTGATTCCTATTCTCTGGTTGATGTATTCTGGTCTGCTTGTTTCAGCCCATCTTTTGAAGCATTTTTTTTAAGACTAGCATTCCTCCGGTGGATTTCCTCTTGATTTGTTTGGTTCGGACTGTGGATCCTCTCTGCTCTGGTCTGGATCAGTGTAAAACCACGAGCATTCCAGGCCACAGCGTCAACAATATAACCAGTGAGAATGTTCTACAATGGAGCCACAAAATAATGTACAAAATTCAATAAGAACACACTATTGCCAGGTGTTGCAGAGACTACATTTTCTTTGTTTTGATAATTTAATACAATTCTGTAATTGTACGTTATTGTATAAATGTTTGCACAGTTGAGTCCTCTCCTCTGAGGTCTGTGGGCTCCATTAGATGAGGTTCCTCCAATGGAAATGTGAACATGCCTCAGGAGAACTACATTTGAACAGTGGGTCTTCTCTGTCCAGGGGCCTCAGCTTGGACTGAGCTGGTTGACACCTGCCTTTGTATAGTGTGTGTGTAACAATGTAAAATGAGTTTTGGGGCGACAGTGGCTCAGTTGATAGAGCATTGGCCTTTGAGCTCGAAGGTCGTGGGTTCGAGCCCACCATGAGACCTTCTCTACTGATCCACCACTCCCACAGATGTCTGCTGCTGTTATGTCCTTGGGCAAGACACTTAAAGCTGCACTAACTGACTTTGGGATTTTGAAGCAGCAGACTCGCTGGCCTCTCTCTTTCTGCTCCCCTCCCCGCACCCATGAAGCTATCGCCCCCCACACACACCCACTGTTGTTGACGGAGCTAGCGTCTCCCAATATGGATAATACATGGATATGGATTTGCACGTGGATGGCGTGATCATAGAACGATAGAACCGGGAAGCGCGGAGGGACGGGACTTTCTTTTGGATGGCTGTTTCACTGTGTAAGCAGTAACCGGTGACGAAGACAAGGAAGTTTCAGGTTTGCTCCTCGAATTTTTGTGCTAACTCAGCTGTCTATGCTAACGGACCTGTAGTGGGGTCTAGTGGTCCGCTGTGATTGGTCACAATCTGCGACCCGAAACACATTCTCTTCCTTGTTTCATCAAAACTCACATGTTTTAATGTCACACCAGCACAAATCTGTGCTACTTTTTCTTCAAAACGACGTATATCCCAATGCACTACACGGACATGGATAGCATTTTCGTAATGAATACGAAAATAAAGTCAGTTAGTGCAGCTTTAACCCACTTTGCCTATAAGGAGCGTGGAAGTGATGTTGGCTGCTTGCCTTGATGCGTACTGTATGTGTATATGTACAGTATATGTGTATGAGGGTGCATAAAACTGAAATTTCCCCATTGTGGGATGAATAAAGGACCTTCTTATTATTGTTATTTTAAAATCCGGACATTGCAAATTAGCCTTGGCTATAAATGTTGTAGTGTTTCACATGATAGTGTAGTGTTGATTGTGTTCCTATCAAATACTGTAAATGCACATACATACAATGAAATACTGCACTGTGATCTGTGGAGACAGCAGATGGCAGTATTTCATATTTGAATTTAGACATACATATAATATCCACACATACAAATACATTGTTTTGCTTTTTATTTTCTTTGCTCATTGCTTTGGATGTTAAAAATCCCCCTCCCCCACCAGCCTTCCCCTCCTCCACCAACATATTCTGCACTATATGTTGTTCATAGTAATTCATGTTTTGGACTTTGTATCACACAGTGTCAAATAAAGGAAACAAATATAATAATTATTGTAAAGCACAAAACACCAACTGTTTCAGAGCTACACAGGACTTTCTGCCGTTTCCAGCTCTTTCCAAAGTAAATGATAATGCTTGTATCATTCTGGCCCTGAAACAGGATCTTGAGAATGTTTACGCTAGCATCTTTGGACGATCACGTGAACACCTGAACGCAGATCTTCAGTTCTCCTTTTTCATCCCAAAGGTCCACTAAGAAAAAATATCCACTCGTATTTTCAGAAATCTTTTCCAGTTTTGGAGAAATAATCCCGCAATAGTCTTCTTTGCACATTTGTAGTCTTCATAAACTGTTGCTTGGCTCAGTTGGTGGTTGTTGCCCGTTCTAACCGGTTCTTTCTCCTACAGTTCCATCCTTTTGGGGCTTGGTGAACTCGGCGTGGAACCTCTGCTCCGTGGGTAAGCGGCAGTCTCCGGTCAACATTGAGACCAGCCACATGATCTTTGACCCCTTCCTGAAGCCCATCAAGCTGAACACCGGCGGCCGCAAGGTAAGACCGGCACGATCCGTCTGTGGCGTTTGTGGTGAGCTGACTTTTGCGATGTTTGGTTTCCGGTGAGTGGTGTAGATGTTGGAAATATCTTTGAAGGAAAAAGTCTTGTATTTGGAGTAGAATTAGTTATTGATGTATACGACTTGTAAATATCTGGTTCTGTGTGTGCTCTGGGTTGTTCCGGGATGTTTTAAGTTGTCACTCTGCGGAGGGAATAACAGTCATACCCAATAGTGCCTGAATTTATTGTCAAAAGCAGGATTTTACTCTCGATCCGTTCACTGCAGTATGATACAGTTGTGCTGGAAAGTTTACACCCACAGATATATATTTGGGATTATATTTAGATTATGAATATTTAACACTAGAAGTCCTAGAGTTGTCAATTTGACGCATGCACGCACACACACACACAGACACACACACATTATGTACACAAACACACATGCGCAAATACACACACACACTTATATGTACACAAACACACACAGTGAACGCAGGTCAAATACAAACACACACACATATGTAGTCAAATACACACACACACACTTATATGTACACAAACACACTCAAACATATACACTCAAATACACACACACAAACACACGTACACACATATATGTACTCAAATACACACACACTCATACTTATATGTACACAAACACACTTACACACAATACACACACACAAACCCCTGCACACACACACACATATATGTACACAAATACACACACGCACAGTGATGCATGTTATTTTATTTTTGTCATTTCAAAGCATGTATGTTACTTTCAAACTACAAACACTGAAGGTCCCAAATTATGATTGTGTTACTTTTCTCTACTTAAAACATCGATACTTGTGCTATTACTAGTGCTGTTTGGCCTTCACACAAGTGCTTCATAAAACAAAAGACTCACACACCTCGTTAAGAAACAAGAAACAATCCCTCAGTTGTTAGTAGATAAACAGAACAGTTTTTAACCGGAAGTCAGGAAGCCAGTCCCTGTGTTCTTCAAAGTCACAGCAGGAGGCCAGTCCCTGTGCTCCTCAGATTCAGCAGGAGACCAGTCCCTGTGTTCTTCAAAGTCACAGCAGGAGGCCAGTCCCTGTGCTCCTCAGAGTCAGCAGGAGACCAGACCCTGTTCTCCTCCAAATCCCAGCAGGAGGCCAGTCCCTGTGCTTCTCAGAGTCCCAGCAGGAGGCCAGTCCCTGTGCTCCTCAGAGTCAGCAGGAGACCAGACCCTGTTCTCCTCCAAATCCCAGCAGGAGGCCAGTCCCTGTGCTTCTCAGAGTCCCAGCAGGAGGCCAGTCCCTGTGCTCCTCAGAGTCCCAGCAGGAGGCCAGTCCCTGTGCTCCTCAGAGTCCCAGCAGGAGGCCAGTCCCTGTGCTCCTCAGAGTCCCAGCAGGAGACCAGTCCTTGTGCTCCTCAGAGTCCCAGCAGGAGGCCAGTCCCTGTGCTCCTCAGAGTCCCAGCAGGGGGCCAGTTGGTTCATATGGAAAACATCTTCATACCCTTGACTCCCCTCATCTTCATCACTCCTGTAACAAACCCGCACATATCCTTGTATTACCTCGTTCTTTATCGGGTCTTTAAATAGCATATCATTTTTCAGAACATATGGTCCGTGGCCTAACGAAAACGAGGCCAACACTTTGCCGGTTCTCCCACGTTCAATAACAAATGCCTTGTCTTGTGATCTCCCAGCACACTCATCACTTCTTTTTTTCTCCTCCTCTCCCTCGCTTCCCCATGACGCAGTAAAGCACAAAGACGTAGAAAGCCTCTCGCCATATGACAGCGTCTAATTGGGAGCCTTGCAGATGTGCTCGCACTGCAGCGGGGAAGATGGATGCTTGGATTACATTATGTTTACAGGCCAGCGCGTTCAGACTGTGGGCGGCCCGGGGAAGACCGCCCCACGGCCGCGCATCCATGTGCTCATCAAACGGGACGCGCCAACTTGAGGGGTTTCTGTTCAAGGATGCATGTTATGTAAAATCTGTAGAATCGTCAATTTTTAAATTAAACTTGTCATCAAAAAACAGACCTGGAGTTTGAGCAAAGCTGATGTCAGTGACTTGGGCGCACCTTCTTACCTTCTGAACTGTTTTCTAACTTGTCACACTTCTCAGACTATGACGTCTGCATAAAGACAATTGGCCTGTCTGTACTACTCTAACTTTGGTTTACTTCAGTCTGATTCCAAAGTTAGCAATATGTAATATTATTCATGTCAAGTCATCCTTAAATGGCCCTAATCAGTAATAAGGTATTAAAAAACCATGGTCTTTAAGAATACTTCTTCAACTGATAACAGTAGTTCAGAGATATTTGAGATTTTAAAAGCCCCTAAATCTTGTTATTTCATTTCGATGTCCCGCCCTCCAAAGTTTTACCAATCAGTAAAGTCTGTGATCCGGGTTGCCAGAACTTTCAGCATAGAGCAAATCTCACTGGTAAAGTACCATGTGGGCGCAAAACTAAAAAAGGTCTTGTTATGATTCTCAAATCATTAATGACAAAAAAGGGATTAAAATCAGGATTTCTATCGAGGCCTTTGTGAAAAAGGTGTTAGTTTTAGATTTGTTTTGGACAAAACTCTTGTCTATTCAATTATTATGGTTCCAGCTGGATTCGTCTACATACAGTATCTGGCAACCTGAGTCAGGGAGAGTGCAGTACCACTTTTGGCCAGATTTGTACATATTGCTCCTTTAAAGTGGTTCTCACCCCCGCTCCTCGGAGCTTACGTTACTCACATTTCCTGTTCAAATCTTCCTCTAAATGGGCGTAGCCTGGAGGACTAAAGGGGGCGTGAACGAGACTGGGCCGTTTGAATTGCTCTGGGCGGGGGGCTGCTGACGTCAGGTCTTGCTTCAGACGTCAGGTCCAACTTCTGTGCCAGTGTTGGCGCCAGATTCAAAATTCAAATGTAGTAATACAGGTCGCCAGCAGATGGCGCCTCACAGACGGTTTTAGGCAGAAAGTCTAACTTTCAACTAATTTGCACCAAAGTGACAAGATTATGACCAGGATATGTAGACAACACTATTGGACACTCATTTATACCGTTTATCAGCAAAAAAAAGTGGATTTGAGGGTGAGTTGTCCTTTAAGAAGCATTTGCAAGTGTTTGTCTTTTGGTGTGCCACTTATGTCCTGTATGCACAAATTGTATAGAAAACACAACAGGTACGTCTATCTTCCTGACATTGTGATTGGGCCAATCAGTGGAAAGGTGCTAATATATATTGATTAATGATCATGATCAGGGGAATTACATCATGGGTCTTAGATGTACGTGCACTATGAAATGTCCTCACTACAATACAATACAATTTATTCTTGTATAGCCCTTAATCACAACAGAAGTCATCTCAGAAGACTTAACAAAACCATTGAAATCACCAACACAGATCAGAGAATCATGTTGTAGAATGGATCATCACCACAGTCCTTCTAGTTTTGGGACAAAAGGTTCCGTATTCTACTTTCTAAACTCTTCAATTAGAATTCTTCTCAAAATCAGGTATAATGACCAAAATAAACAGAAACAACATCATTTATTTTGAATATTCTGTAGCAGACACACTTGTAAAATAAGTCTCGTTACTTTTTTATCAGAAATATAGATGAAAACCGCTTAAATGAAAAGAAAGCTCAGACCGAAAACTCCAAAAGCCATTTCATAGAAGGTGAGCCTGAGTCTGCGATTGCTGTGGCCTTTCCTCCCCTTCTTCTGCAGAGTCCGCCACATCCTCCAAGGTCCAGTGCGAGGGTCAGGGCCGCTCAGAGAAGCACAGAAGAAGAGCCGTCTCTCGCACACCTGAGCATAAACTTTAAGGTTTTTACTTTATCCAGAAGAATTCATCTGTTTCCAGTCACTGCAATAAATCAGCCAAGAAATGAAAAGCAAATTAATTTTAGGATAATCAAGTACTAATACAAACATAATTCAATGTCCAAATTTGCTGTAGAATTTTTGAATCTCTTTGCACCCGTTTCCTAAAGGTGCATTCAGACCGGACCCAGTGGCGTGGCAGGTGTAAAGGCTAAGTCAAGGATGCTGGTGCTGGTTTTTGCGACTCTGGGTTTTAAAGGAGCTATACCCGCAAGGTTTGAATGTTTAGCACCGCCCCTCCACTCGCTCACAGGCTTCTCATTTCCCCTACGCTCCACGGAGTCATCTAGTTTATTTGCGATCTGATACATATGCTGACATTAGCATTAGCGCAACTTCTTGTAAGCTGTACAACAATCACTGATGAAATGGTACAAAAGCAACGCACTGCTAACAAAATATATAACTGAAAGATTACCACGAGCGAGCGTCACTACTCAGCAATTTTTACGGCCTGAATTCATACACGGCTGAATCAATGAGCTCAACTTTTCGATTAAATTATGAATTATGATAAAAATTGTATGTAGTAATGCGTATTTTATCGGGTATAGCTTCTTTAATGGACAGAGCATCAATCAATCAATCAAAGTTTATTTGTAGAGCGCCTTTCATGCACAGGGCAACACAAAGCGCTTCACAGTCCACATCACAAATCATCACATAAAACAAACACCAGAATCACAATTAAAACATTAAAATCACACAAAAGATTAAAACACAATTAAAACATTAAAATCACACAAAAGAATAAAACCATTAAAACTTTCAAAATTACACAAGAAATTTAAAAAAATAAATAAATGACAGCAGTGCATTAGAAATGGAGATAAAATCCTTCAGTTGTATGCACAGGCAAACAGAACAGTCTTTAACCTGGATTTGAACATTGACAGAGTAGACGCCTCCCTCACATTTTCAGGGAGATTGTTCCAGATCTTAGCTGCATGGATCTGAAACGCAGCCTCCCCATGTTTGGTTCTCACTCTGGGCACCAGCAGGAGTCCAGTCCCTGTGCTCCTCAGAGTCCGGGCCGGTTCATATGACACCAACATGTCACTAATGTATTCTGGTGCAAGGCCATGGAGAGACTTGTACACAAGCAGAGCTGTTTTAAAATCTATTCTTTGAGCCACAGGAAGCCAGTGCAGAGACCTGAGGACCGGACTAATATGGTCATACTTCCTGGTTCCTGTCAGGACTCTAGCTGCTGCATTTTGGATGTACTGCAGCTGCTTACAGGTCTGTTTGGACAGACCTGTAAGCAGGCCATTGCAGTAGTCTAGCCTGCTGGAGACAAATGCATGGACAAGAATCTCCAAGTCTGCCCTGGACACTATATTTCTAACTTTGGCAATGTTCTTCAGATGGTAAAAAGCTGTTGATGTTATTGATTTTATGTGGCTATTGAAATTTAGGTCTGAGTCCAGTATTACCCCCAAATTTCTGACCTTGTCTGAAGGAAGTAGGGAGAGAGACTGAAGTTGACAAATGACGCCCTCTCTTTGTTTCTGGGGACCAAAGACAATGATTTCGGTTTTGTCTGCATTTAGCTGGAGGAAATTATTTTGCATCCAGTCACTGATCTGTTGGATACAGTGAAGGAGCAAATCCAGTGGTCCATGTTCTCCTGCAGTCAGTGAGACATAGATCTGAGTGTCGTCGGCGTAATTGTGGTAGGACACTTTGTTTCTTTGTATTAACTGACCTAACGGCAGCATGTAGAGATTAAATAGGAGAGGTCCCAGGATCGACCCCTGTGGTACTCCACAGGTCAGGGCCACATGATCATGGCAGCATGGTCTATTGTCCCCAAATTGGACGGAACTGACCATGAGCTGCACGGGGTGGGGGGGCCCTAAGTATCTGAACAAAGAAATAAAAAACAGCTGGAAGAGCTGTTGTGTTGATAGTCATGTGACTGTGCCGGATCTGCCCTGGAACAAAATGGTGGCAGTGGCCTCAAACATGCGAAAAAAAAGTATTCTATTGTTGCCTCGTGAACATGAAACTTTTATGTCAGTGCGGCCCCCACTCAGAGTCTACGCAAATATGGCATTTGTGTCATGATGTGGATTTTATTTGTTTGTTTTATTTTGACTTCCTTCCTCTGTGGTTTTAAGTTAGTTTGACTTCCTGTTCCCTGTTGATTGTCTGCCCTGATGTGTTTCACTTGTGTCTATATGGTTCCTGGGTCCGTTTTGAGTTTTGTTTCACCTTGGACATATATTTTATCCTCTTTATTAAATCATTATTTTTTGAGTCCTCGTTCACCTCATCATGTGACAATTGGATACATTGTTTTTAACTAAAAGTAAGTAACTAAAATTAACTTTATCAAGAAAACCCCCACACCATTTATTTTGCCATAAACATCAAACTCTGATTTCCACAAGCAATAATTCATATTAAACCCAGTCTTCAATACAACGCCTCATGACTTTTCATTCAGTTTTGCTTCGATCCAAGCAGCTGAACTCATTTTGTTCAAAGAAATATATAAGAATTACATCAAACACAATAAGTAATGCGCAGTTTCAGTGAAAAACATAAGAACAAACAGATCAATGCACATGCAGAGAAACAACTCTGCATGTGCATTGATCTGTTTGTTCTTATGTTCATATATTTTGCAGACGCACAAATACATAAACCTCTCCCTTACTGCAGCCCAAATTGACCCAGATTCAAACTCATGTGGCCTCTGGAATTGTTGAGTTTGAGACCCTGGGGCTAATTAGATCTGATTCAAATAAAATCCCACCCTGCTCCATTTGGAACTTAGCGTTGGACCGAGAGCCATGTTTGGAACCAGGCTCTAAAACCTGTCAGTTTCTGCAGTCAGAATTACAGACTGCAAAGATGGCAACCCTCTTTCATAAAGCTGAGATTGGACAGACAACCACTGGCTGCGCAAGTTTGACCATACTCTTATCTGAAGACGTGCACAGCAACCACCCAGAGAGCAGCACAGGGGACAGAGGCAGGGCAGAGGAGGCAGAGGAAGACACTTCAAACAGCCAAAAAAACAACATCAATCAAAATGAATCAAAATGAAAATCAAGACAAAAAAGGCCCGGTACACTTCCTGCAGTCCGATGAGAAAATCTACTACTTGTAATGCAGTAGATTTTTTAAAAAGTGTTGCCCTGCTAACCTCACTATAATAATGATCCCATAACCAACTTGTGAACCTCCCTACTCATGTCCTGCCTTTCTCTGCGGCACAGTTCTCTCTCTCAGTGTGGATGACGCAGACTTCTTCCCTGCTCACGTCTCATGCCTTTCCCAAATGGAGAGAGCAGATTAACCTTCCCAAACGCCTTCCCGCTCTCACACTGCGCACCTCCCTGTAATAGGCTCGACCAGCCTGTGTCGCTGCTAATGAATAGTTAAAGGCAATTTAATTGACCTCCAAGAGAAATTTTAATTAATGACGAGGAGACAAGGCTACGCTCGGCAGACCGTAGGAATCACAGTTATTAAAAAGCCACTTTTAATTGAATATTTACTCTGCCGTAGATGAGCCCGCAATTACACCCGGAGATTTTTAATGAATTGGATGACTTTGGAGGCAGAAAAAACAGAGCGGATAATTCATACAGTGACTCCTTCATATCCAAATGTGTTTTGAGGCAGGATTAAACTCCATTTGGCCCTCTTTGGCAGATTGCATTTTTGGGAGAGTGATTTCCTTTGTGTGCTATTGTTAGAACATAGTAATTGGACTCATACCTTGCTACATCAACATCGCTCCTCATTAAAAAAAAAATGAACCCGGGTTTGGTTTTAGTCCCATCCATAGTTCTTCCCTGTACTGTCTCTGTCTCTGTCTGATCTATTACATCAGAGAGACCTGCAGAGATCTTTTTGCACTATTTCAACATGTACATCTCCAAATTGGTTCTGATCATTTCTTTGTCAAACCGATCTTTCTACACATTTTAAACTGCGTGCAAATCCTTCGACATAGTTTTGAAACACTGTCAAACGGCATTTCTCGAGCTGTATAATATTCCTCATATAGCTACGGTAGGAGTGTATTTCAGAAAGGTCCTTTGGCGCGCCGCAGCGGCGCTCTCTTGCGGCACCGGTGCGAGTGTTTGAAGTGTGGGCATCAGCGGCGGGACCGAGCAGGTGGAGGAGAAGGAACTGCACACTCAGCAAATCCACCGGCTTTCAACTTTAATCATGGCCTTTAACTTCGCTCAGAAAGCACCTCACACGCCGGCTGTTGTAGAATGTGTGAGGGCGTAATGTTCGGGATATGATGTGTATCGCAACATTTATGGAATAGGTGTCTTTTTAACGGCGTGCCATTTATTTACTTCATAGAATACTCGTATATAATTACTTTTTAACCCATCCCTTTTTCATAAAGCTTACTAACTTTCTGAACTACTCAGTCACAGCGTATTCTAGGTTTGTGTGGGGACCGTGGGGACATGTCTTCACCCGATATAAGATGATGTCCTGGACCAAATCCTCCGTCTCCAGTTTGTTCCTCCTCGCCTCTATAGCACCAGAAGCACCAGCAGCTCGTGACCCCTAATCTTTCTGCTGTGATTGGCTTTTTTAGACAAACAGAATCTATGTAGTTCACAGAGGTCCAATTCAATTGTATGGTATGTCAACCAGTCATATGTACCCTTGTCAACATGAAAATACCAGAAGAAAAGATAAGTAACGTGGTTTCTGTGTAAATGGTATGGTAAACCGGGTTTTATGTGTGTTACCGACACACATTACAGTATATTTAAAAATTACAGGCACAGTTAGAACAAAAGCATTTGCAATTTGTATTGGTTTGTTACCGGGCGGATTAAATACAAACGTTAAAAATTCCTCACATATAATAAATAGTTTTTTGGTTCTCTGTACAAACATGAAACTGAAAGATGTTGCTCCTTACCTTTCTGCTTGACACTG